AGTGTACATTTTCTTTCTGGGACTCTGCTAACTATTTAAAAGTGATTTATTTCAAACACATCCTGACACATAATACCTTATGCAGATGTACTTATAAATATTTATATCAGTTTATTCTTATGTAGACCACAGCAAACTATGGCAAGTCCTTAAAGAAATGAGAGTGCCTGACCACCTTATCTATCTCCTGAGAAATCTATATGTGGGGCAGGAAGCAACAGTTAGAACTGGTCATGGAACAACTGAGTGGTTCAAAATTGGGAAAGGAGTACGACAAGGCTGTATATTGTCTCCCTGCTTATTTAACTTATATGCAGAATACATCATGCGGATGGCTGGACTGGATGAATCCCAAAATGGAATTAAGATTGCTGGAAGAAATATCAACAACCTCAGATATGCAGATGATACCACGCTGATGGCAGAAAGTGAGGAGCAATTAAAGAACCTCTTAATGAGGGGGAAAGAGGAGAGCGCAAAAGTGGTTTGAAGTTCAACATAAAAAACTAAGATTATGGCCACTGGTCCCATCACCTCCTGGCAAACAGAAATGCTTAGAGTGGTCGTTCAACTAGATAGGCGGCGTATAAATGCAATCAATCAATCAATAAATAAAAAAAAAGATATGGAGGCAGTGAAAGATTTTACTTTCTTGGGCTCCATGATCACTGCAGATGGTGACAGCAGTCACAAAATTAAAAGACGGCTGCTTCTCAAGAGGAAAGCGATGACAAACCTAGACAAGCAGAGACATCACCTTGCTGACAAAGGTCCATGTAGTCAAAGCTATGGTTTTTCCTGCAGCGATGCATGGAAGTGAGAGCTGGATTGTAAAGAAGGCTGACTGCCAAACAATGGATTCTTTTGAATTGTGGTGCTGGAGGAGACTCTTGAGAATCCCCTGGACTGCAAGAAGATCAAACCTATCCATTCTGAAGGAAATCAATCCTGAGTGCTCACTGGAAAGACAGATCCAGAAGCTGAGGCTCCAATACTTTAGCCATCTTATGAGAAGAGAAGACTCCCTGGAAAAGATGCTGATGTTGGTAAAGTGTGGAGGCAAGAGGAGAAACGGAAGACAGAGGACGAGATGGTTGGACAATGGCAATGAAGAGACCAACATGAATTTAACCAAACACCAGAAGGCAGTGGAAGGCAGGAGGGCCTGGTGTGCTCTGGTCCATGGGGTCACAAAGATTCGGACATGACTTAACGACTAAACAGCAACAAATTGTTATGTGTTTTCAAGTCAGGACCACCTTACAGAGACCCTAACAGGGTTTTTAAGATAAGTGAGCTATTTAAGGAGTGGTTTTACCAGTTACACTCCTCCAGTGAGTTTCCAAGGCTGAGTGGAGATCCAAACTGAGGCCTCCTGAGTTCTCGGCCATCACTCTATCAACTACACCACACTGGGTATCACTTATACACGTAGAAGCATTTATATTTACAAACCAGAAAGCAATGATCATTTCAATGAATACAGATCAGCACTGGAAGAAAAAATAACTCAACCCAATTCTAGAAATATTGTGCTTCACTCTAGTCCGTGTCTTCATGATCTCCACTATATTAACAGGCTGCTTTAAAGAGTGGCCTTGAAAAACCATGATAGAAAGAGGTGACAGGAAAAAAATGTGTAGGGCAGTTGTGAATGTGAAAGATTTCACAAAATTAACAAACAAAACCATGGATACAATTGTGCATACAGATGATGGATGGGAACGTAAAAACAACAGGGGTATACATAGAATGAAAGGAGGTGTTGTCTTGTCCTCCACCTCAGGCAACAAAATGGCTTGAGCTAGTCCTGGCTGGACCACGCTGTCACCTTTATCTTTCAATACACACCTGCCTCTCCTGTCTGCCAATTTGCCCTCTTTGGGGTACTTCAGACAGATTATGTGCATAGAGCATCATGGGCATCTCATGGCCTGAGCAGGTGGAATGGTATTCACTCCTCCCTGTTGGTTCATCAGTGCCCAGAAATAGCATCATCCAGTACTGATCACTTTTTCTTTTCCCATAGTAGCCAATAGACAATTCAATGTGCAAAGCTCTAAAAGCCTTTGCTTTCACTAGCATTAAGTGAATGCAATCTGGATTGTCATTCAAGAAAGAAGCCGTATGGCATTCAACAGGACTTATTCCCAGCTAAGGGATGCAGGAGACTGATATGTATGTATGTATGTATGTATGTATGTATGTATGTATGTATGTATGTATGTATGTATGTATGTATGTATGTATGTATGTATGTATGTATGTATGTGTGTGTGTGTACGTACGTACGTACGTACGTACGTACGTACGTACGTACGTACGTACGTACGTACGTACGTACGTACGTACGTACGTACGTACGTACGTACGTACGTGTTTGTTTGTTTGTTTGTTTGTTTGTTTTTATACCACCTTTTCTCTTAACAGTACCCAATGTGACTGATAAAGGATCAAACAAATACCATACAAAAAAAAATAAGCGAAATCAAAACACATTCAAAGCAGGAAGGTACAACAGTCAATTTAAAAACTCTGCTCAGGGAGCCAGCCCGTCAAAGAAAGCTTGCCTGAAGAGAAAGGTCTTCACCTGCTTGTACAAGGGGGACAGCAAAGATGGGGCCAGCCTAGCCTCCTGTGGGAGGGAGTTCCAAAGCCTGGAAGTAGCAATATAGAAGACCCTCTCTTAGGTACCCACCAAACATACCTGTGAAAATGGTGGGATAGGGAGAAAGGCCTTTCTTGATTATATTAACACTTGAGCAAGTTCATAAAGGAACATGAGGTCCTTGAGATAGTTTGGGCCCGAGCCATTTATATCACAGAAAGACTGTCAAGGATTGCATCTCCCTCTATGAGCCTGCCCCAGCATTGAGATAATCAGAAGAGCCCTTTCTCTTGGTTCCACCACCTTCCACCCGCCTGATGAGGAAACAGAGAGGGCCTTTTTTTGTCACTGCTCCAAGACACTGGAGTTGCCTCCCAGGGGAAGCCAGGTGGGCCCCCTTGTGCTGTCCATCTGCAAGCCGCCAAAGGTTTTTGCCTTCAGACAGGCTTTTCTTTAGCGACTGGCTGTCTGACATGGGGCTTTGAATAGACTGTTGTGCTCTGTTACTTTTAAATCTGTTTTATTTAGTATTGATTTAAATTACTGTTTTTTAATATAATACTTGTTTAATTTAATCATTTTAAAGTATCTGTATACACTTACTGTTTTTAGCCTTTAAATGTTTATTTTTAATTATGTAAGCTGCCTTGGGTTCTTTTAAGGAAGGAAGGAAGGAAGAAAGAAAGAAAGAAAGACAGAAAGAAAGAAAGAAAGACAGAAAGAAAGAAAGAAAGACAGAAAGAAAGAAAGAAAGACAGAAAGAAAGAAAGAAAGACAGAAAGAAAGAAAGAAAGACAGAAAGAAAGAAAGAAAGACAGAAAGAAAGAAAGAAAGACAGAAAGAAAGAAAGAAAGACAGAAAGAAAGAAAGAAAGACAGAAAGAAAGAAAGAAAGACAGAAAGAAAGAAAGAAAGAAAGAGCTGGACTTCTATAAGGCACATGTTTTTGACTAGGCATAATGCTACTACAGGAAAGACTCTTACTTAGCGCACTATATATATTCTCTTAATTTTTCTCTTATTTGGGCTATTAATACATCCTTTCAGCATAATGAATTTCCTAACCCTCTGTATCCCAAAAGCTGAATGGGGGAAAATGGAGTTGAATTTTTGGGTGGAATTGTCAATGCAAATCCATCTAAGTTGTCAAGGAAATGTTAAGTATTGTCAATGTAATGTATTTTTGTCACTATAAACCTGACAGAAATCTTCTGCTGAAATGTAACTTGAAATATCCTCTCAAAATGTGTGGGAACAAACACTTTGTAATATATTTCAGTGGAGCAATTATTAGCAAAGGTGGTGGGAAAGGCATGTAAAGTCCTCCTGCTGAATGTTGATTTTTCACATTTCCCAGTACATGAACTATCAACCACAAAGTGTCAAAGTTTCCCATGGGAAATGGAACATTATGACCTACCAAAAGGTCAAAAATGAACAAGTTTGAGCACTCAACCAAAATATTTTGATAATATATATTCAAAGTTTCCCCACATTCATACAAAAGGGTTTAAAAATAAGGGACCTGTCTATCTGAAAGTATAGGGATCTGCAGAATATCACAGACTGCTGGTCTACAGCTGTTCTTTTGCTTAAACCAAATTAAATCTGAATAATTCTTCTTTTAGGAATCAAAAGTTGCAACAACTTTAAAGTCAGTAGTAACTTCTAACTATTAGTGGGACTGGGTCATTAGTGTGCAAAAATAAATCTTGCCATCTATATAAAATGACTAATAAATCTTATAGTTCTGTACTGTGTGAGTCGATTTATTGCATACATGGGAAAGGGGAAAGAGAAGGAAGACTCTAAGCTTAAAAATATAGCTAGCATTAATATGAAATAATGTCTGATCTATGTTTATTAACTTATTCACCAATGAGTTCATATCACTTCACACAGTGTGTCTCATGAAGATCTATTTCGTGTGAGACAAATCAATGTGGAATTCTCCGTGTTCTAAAATCTCAAACCCACATAGACTGGGCTAGGCCCAACATAATGCAGGCGGTTTCATATCACAAGTAATGGTGGCTAGTGTTTCTGGGAGTTTCAGTCCACTAAAATTTGGAGGGACACATATTCCCTGTTCCTGCAACACATCAACTGATAGATCTGCAATCAGCTGCAATAACCATGTACATTAAAAATTGCAGAATAAATCTTTTTGAGGTGACATTTAGGATACATTAATAGGCATTAGACCTCATTACTTTTGCAATACGCATGGGATTGGAACATATGATAAAGATAGTCAAGCTATGTCTGCTAAATAATTTTCCTACATCAGACTTCTAGGGACAAGACAGAAAATAAGAGTACATGAATTAAAAGCAGAAAAGCATTCCCTAGAACACATAAGTAATCAGCCAAGAAACTCAGTTTTATTTTACCTTCATTTCCCTCTCCTGGTGGATGATAAAATGAGAGCCCAAGAGATATGATGGCTGCGATTTCCAAGATGATAAGAGTCACATCCTGTAATGCTTCCCAGACTAACTGTATGAAAGTTTTTGGCTTCTTCGGAGGTATAAAGTTTTTCCCATAAATTTGTCTTCTTTTATCTAAGTCAGCAGCTGTACCAGGCAATCCTATAAATAAATGAAAGAGAAACAGTTTAAGACTGACTGACAAATATGTCAGTACTCATATACTGTGTATACATACATACATACATACATACATACATACATACATACAGACAGACAGACAGACAGACAGACAGACAGACAGACAGACAGACAGAGAGAGAATTTTCAAAATACAATACGTCATTTTTCTTTTTAAAAAAGGTATATTTATGGCTTATTTGACTTTCCATTTTTCTTGTTCACTTTTACAAGATAAGACTCAGCTTAAATATTATGCAGACTATTATATATATTTATAGGAACATCTGAAGAATATAATTCCCTGTCAGCTAAAGGGAAGGAGAGGATTACAACATAATAATAATGGTTTAATTTTTAGTATTGTCTACCTAATGAACACATGACTTCCTAGATGTTATAAAATGCCCATATAAAATATTGATTGTATTTTTAAATACTAATTTCTATTTTAATAAGTTACCTAACATTCTAAAAGGGGGATTCTTTGTACAAAGTAACAGATACAGAACAAACGTTTTTAAAGGGATTGGTAGCATCTGCACAATTTTATCTTCTAAGCTATTTTGAAATTATCTGGGAGGATGAGATATTGTGATTGCTTTCAACAATTTAAACTGCTTCCTCCAGCCTTGCACAGTATATTAAACCCACTCCAATCTTTGATATGTAAGCCAGGGATTCACTGGAGCGATACATTTCAATGTGACTGTTACGTTCTCCCACATTTCATTTCTCTTTTGCACAGGATAAAGACATTATATAATTAATTATTCTGTCATTTCTCCTGGCTCCTAAAGAAATACTGCATAGTGCACTAAAAATGCATGTCAATGAAAACGTCCTTTAGCACTGCATGGAAAATCTGATATAAACCACTTCACAGCAACAGAGTGGGAACAGCATAAACTTGATGATTTCATATAGTGCATGCATGATTCAATAGAAAATGCTAGCCCCCCCCCCATGGGCAAACATTCCCTGCTGGTTAATGACAGCATAAAGTTATACTGTATAGGAAAATAATTTTTTAAAAATAAGTGTATGAATCTCTTTTTCCACAAGAATAACTGAGTGATAATTCAGGTTTGGTTTCTTTTTAAATGTACAGTAATTTCTATTTGATGTTAAAATCACCGAATTGCAAAGCAGAAAGCAATGGTGCAATTACATAAGGTTGTAAATACTCATTTCTCCTGACAAATACACAACAAGTAACCAAAACATTCTTCTCTTCACCAGCAAGGATGGCAAAATATTTTCTGACACTCTCAATGAAGTCTGTACATTAGCAAAAATTTGCTCTGTACACAAAAAATGCCAACTTTGCAGAAAATTGTCAATTTTGCTAAAATTGTCCATTATGTATTTATATAATTATACTGTGCAAATTTCTCCAAGTCACGTTGTCTGATGCTTTATTGAAGAATCTGACAAACTGGATGGGCTGTTTACACTTTGCACCTTTCTCAACAACCCAATGTTTTTACACTTGCTGTGCATGTGTGTGTGTGTGTGTGTGTCTTCCTCTGTGTATGCTTTGCTTCTCAAAGGGTAAGGATGTTAGAGCAATAAATGCAGATTACAATGCCCTTGAGAGGGGAGAAAAACCTCTTTGTCTTTGTGGGGTGAAGAATCTTACAGGCCTTTAAAACTCCCTGTTACTGTTTCATGTTGTGTCAAGTCAAAACCGATGAGAACAAGTGGAGTTTTGTGATTGCATCTGATTTTATCATAGCATAACTCCTTCATTTTCAAAGACAGATTGCAATATAAGATGTTTTACCACTTCTACTTGCATAGCTGTATTAGATGAAGCAAAATGAACAGAGAATGTTGTACACTACCTTAAAGACCAAAGGATTTATTATGGCACAAGCTTTTGTGGCACAGTGGTTAAACTGCAGTGCTGCAGCCAAAATTCTGTTTGCAACCTGGGTTCAATCTCAGATAGCAAGCTCATTACTCAGTCCTCCATCCTTCTGAGGTTAGTAAATTGAGTACCCAGCCTACTGGGAGAGCAATGTGTAGCCTGCATAATTAAACTGTAAACTGCTCAGAGAGTGCGCTAAGTGTTATGGGGTGGTATATAAGCAGCATGCTTTGCTAATTTAAATGAGAGATTCTTTAAGTGGAGAGAAGTCTGCAGCTGGCAAACTTTGTTCCATCAGAAACATGTCCCAGAAAGAAAAAAAAACTTTCATCATTTCACATTTAGGAACACAACCCTGTTTTCAGGCCAAATGGTGGATATCCACAGTATCATTGCTGGACTGAGAGAAAGATGTACATCAAATATAAACAGGAAAATAAGTTTTAGTTCCTGCAGTGGGGGACTACCCTGACTTCCCAGAATATTTTGCACTGAACTTAAAACTATGGTAACTACTGTCTTGCTGTTGTACGGACTTCTTAAAAAACAAAAGCATAAGGTGAGTGTGTCTATCTTTTGTGTGAGCAACCACCCAGACATTGGTGTTTGCTGTATGCCCGTGGTTAGATTCTGAATGGAAAGGGCTACTAGAGATCCTTTGAAAAAATGTGGAAAGCTTGAATGAGAAAAAGTGCTTGCTAAGCCTCATGCTGGAAGCTTGACAATCCTAACAAGATGTTTCGCTGTATCACATATTATTTCTTGCATTTTTATTAAGAGTCTGAATGACAGCAACAGTGCCACTGTACACATGCCAATAAACAAGCAAACTGCACTGAGTTCAATGAGTATTATTTTGAGGTAGCATTTATAGTGCTGTTTATATTACTGCAGTCCTTATAGCAACACTTAATTCCTCCCAGCAAATATGAAGAAGCTGTGCCATAGCCCCTACCCATTATATATACTATGGATACCATGTCTTTTAAGTCAAGTACCATTGCCAAATGTCCCCTGAAGTATTGTCCACAACACCAACATTATTGTATTAATACAACATAATTCATTTTCAGATAAATCAGGAAATCACCAAAGAATTTGCATTCTATGTTCTGGCAGTGCACTGCATGAATGAGAGCATGTTCTATATGTGTAAAGCAAATTCTGTAAGTACTAGAGCTTTGAAAGAAGCAAGTACAAAGTACAAGATGTTTCTATTTCTTTTTTATAATAATGAATGTATAACTATGTTATTAAGATATGATTACCTGCTTATAACTCAGTGACTGAAATCCTATCCTATATACAACATAGTGTCGTAAGTTGCATTAGAGTAGACCCACAAAGTCAGTTCCTCCATAATTTCCATTGATTCAAATGGGACTATTCTAGTTGCAACTCACTGCAGTGTAGTAAGTCACAACAAGAGTAGTTAACTTGAACCAATGGAAGTTATAGAGGAAGAGATGTTGACTCACCATATTCCAACTGATTCAATGGCCCTAGTCTACTATGACTTCCTAAGCTAAGCAACATGATTTCAGCCAATAATTGATAACTTCACCATTTCTGTGGTATAACTTGCACTTTTTACTTATTCTTAAAGTTAGAAGAAGGTGGCATCATTAAATGATGGAATATCACATGGTTCAAGTGCCTGCTTGTGCTGTGCCTCATGCGGCTAAAAGGAAATATTTTCTTCTCAAAATTAAGATAACTGGGAAAAATAAAGCACTGCATTTTTAAAATTCTAATTATAACGACAATTATTTAATTTGGGGTAGTGTTGGATCTCATAGAATCATAGAATCACGGAATAATGTTGGAAGGAGCCTATAAGGTCTGCGAGACCAACCCCCTGCTCAGTACAGAATTCAAATCAAAGTATATCTGGCAGCTGGTTGTCTAATTTTCTCTTGAATGCCTCTAGCAATGGGGTGCTCACCACCTCCCAAGCTAATTGGTTTCATAGTCATACTTCTGTCACAGCTAGGATGATTTTCCTGATATTCAACCAAAATCTAGCTTCCTGTAACTTGAACCCATTGTGGCATGTCCTGCACTCTAGGATAACCAAGACCAGATCCTGCCCCTTCTCTGTATGACAGTCTTTCAAGTATTTGAAAAGTGCTATCATATTTCCCTTCAGTCTTTTTCCCCTCAATGCTAAATATGCTCAGTCTTTCCTCATAGGGCTTGATTTCCAGCCCCCCTGATCATCTTTGTTGCATTCCTCTGGACTTATTTCAATTTGTTGACATCCTTCTTAAAAAGCAGTGTCCAGAACCAGACACAGTCCTCTAGATGAGACCTAATCAGTGCCAAACAGAGGGGAAATAATACTTCATAGGATTTGGATACTATATGTTTGTCAATACTGTACAGCCTAAAATAACATTGGTGATTTTTGCAGCCACATCACACTGTTGGCTCATATTCACCTTGCTATCTACAATAATTTGTAGCTCCTTCTAGCTCATAATATCATTGAGCCAAGCATCCCCCATTTTGAAACTGTTTGTTTGTTTTTTTCTCCCTAGGATAGAACGTTGCACTTATTCCTATTAAATTTCATTCTACTGTTTTCAGCCCATTACTCAAGTCTATTAAGATTTTTTTGAATTGTTTCTGCCTTCCAGCATATTAGTTATTCCACTTAATTTTGAGCCATCTGCAAACTTGATAAGCATTTCCTGCAACACCACCCTCATATAAGTCATTATTTAAAAAGGTTGAAGAGTACTGATGCCAAGTATGATGTCTTGTGGTACCCCACTTGTTACCTCCTTCTGTATCAGTAACAAATTAATTTTGAGAAGTAACTGTCCAGGCACTGTGCTTATACTTGGGGAAAAAAATGTTCAGTAGAGAATAGAGTAATTATATGCATGTGTTCTTTTTAATTTTATTTTTAATTTATAAATCAGCAACATGAGAATCATTCACCTATAAACATAAACTTAGTGTAACCCTAATAATCATATAAATTTAAATTTGGGCAATGTTGAGCCAAGATAAATCCATAATTCCTACACATAATTATATTTATTTTTCTGTTAAAAAGCAGTAAGGATTCTTATAACCCATGGACACCTCCACACTTTCTACG